AGGAGGAAGAGGATCGAGGAGGAAGAGGAGGAGGAGGAGGAGGAGGAGGAGGAGGAGGAGGAGGATGAGGAGCAATATAGCTGCCATAGTAGTAAGTATATAATAGCAAAGGCCTCAGTAGAAGCAGGAGCTTTATTAGTAACAGACACAGCAAACAGCAACGATGCACGCCGTATAGTAGCAGCAGTGGTCGTAGAATGGATAGAGTAGCGGTGACTATAACGAGAGTATTAGTGGCAAGTGGCAACTACCTATATACGTACCGGTACATGGCTGTGCCGCGCTACACAGAGCGACACGTTACGTATTTGGGGGATTTAGGGGTTCCTGTGGGATAGACATATATGATACAGATCGATAGAGTTTCAACTATTGCGGTCGTTATTCGCCTACTCTGCTTACCGACCAAATTCCTAATAACTCCTGCTCAAGGGTCAAATGGCTATAGGGCCACGACTGTTTTAAGAAGCGCGTGCAAAGTCTGCTCTATACTCAACATTGTGACAAATAAACTGGACGAAATGGTTAATGTGACAATTCTATAAGTGAGTGGACTAAAATTAACACACAGCCTAGTTATTCATTAGAATAACTAGCCGTTATCCACATGTCATAATATATTTTATGGGTTATGGCTTCATGATTTCAGGAATTAAAAGTAGGCTGAAAATAGATACGCCGAGCTGTGCATAGACGGTTATCAGCATATTTCTAGTCTATGTTACTATAATATTATACTACGGCCACGGGTATGATATCAAGCATCAAAATTGTCACTGAAATCGTCCGGTAGATGGCAGAGAAGCAGATAATAGAGATCACATTGTTTCCTTGTCGTTAGCTCGTTACGGTCGTTTTCAGCGCACGTGAACGTGTGGATGCGTCCAATATAGGCCATCGTGTGTTGGCATAACATGCCCAATTAAGTTATTCGCAAATGAAATCGATTTCAGTCGTGATTAAATATTCAAAAAACAAATATTCAACAACAATTTCAACAACAATGTTCAAATTCCAAATATTCAAAGCAGTGGTTTTTAATTACAATGAAATTAGCCCTACTACTAAATTCTATGCGGGTTAGAAAAGTTGCGCCAAGCTTCTTGAGCCTCGGTTGATTTCCGCGGTGATCAATGCGCGAGATATAGCCAAGTGATATGTGCTTTTAGTAAGGAGTATAATATACGGTTAGGATTAAGAAAGTGCTTGTATTCTAATTAAAATACACGGTGGGTCGGATTGGATTGGTCTGAATATGTACGGAATTGTCTTATATCTGGTTAAGGAACCGTTAGGCATATGTCGCGCATATTCGTGCATGTATCGAATTAGGAAACACTGCTTCATAGGATGTTAGCCTAGTCGCGCGTGAAATGCGTTTGCATTCCAATTGAAAATAACTGCCCGATTCGTTTACACTTGATATAAGATGATAACTGTAATTCTACCCGTTTCTATATATTATACTATCTCACTATAGATACTTAGTGGGTATTCCAAGACATACATTGTTGGCCAATTTCGCTTGTAATAAACTACACACACAACGCACACACGCGCACACACACACACACACACACACACACACACACACACACACACACACACACACACACACGCACGCACGCG